ATGGTAAAACATTCATTATTTAAATAAGAATAAATGCATATATGAAGCCCAAAACATACGCAAAAGCATTAAGACAGCAGGGGTGATCCACTGACCTAACCACAGCAGAGCTGAAGAAGCCTCTGCCTGAAAACAATCTGTTGTTTGTTATGTCAAAGTTCTGTTTTTTTGTCCGTTTTATCATATTATTCATCCATCTTCCACACCACTTATCCTTAATAGGGCCACATGGCGTCATGAGCATGTCCTTTGGGCGAGAGGCGGGGTATGCCTTTGACGGGTCATCGGTCTATCACTGTACCACAGAGAGGCAAACAGCCACCAACGTTCACCCCTGCGGGTAATTTTAGACCCGCCAGTTAACCTAACATGCATGCACTTGGACTGTGGGAAGCCATAGCACCTGGAGAGAAGCCATGCGTAGACAGAGAAGAACATACAGACTCTAGACTAGACAGAATGGCCCCCAGCTGGGAGTCGAACCATGAACCCTCTTGCTGCGAGGCTCCATTGCTAACCACCTCACATGTATTATCCATATGTGGCGTATTTGTATTCTGTCATTTTCTTTGTAACTTAGTAATTGACTATAATGTTGTTGTTCTAATTATCTGATAGGTATTCAATTAAGCAGATATCAAAACAATGTTTTGTAAATAGAGGAATTAGCTGAGAATTTAATAACAGGAAACACAGAGAGTATTATGGTCACTAAGAGGGTCTATTTTCTGTTGTTTTTTTGTACAAAAAAATGAGCAATTAGTTGAAAGTATTTTTTCTTTTTATTTAATTTATTTTGTAAAAGAAAATAGATAAAAGAAAGCTGCTTGCCCTCTTCTAAGTAGCTTTTAGCCTCGGTCACCTGTGTGAAAAGCTTCTAGTTCTCCAAACTGAAAGCACTCTAACAGCCATCTACTGCAAGTAAAACAATGACCCCTCATAAGTACTTACCTCAATCCCCACTTAGAAAAGATGATTTTAATAAACATTTCTACAGTTACAGAGATGGCTGCAGAGCTCCAACAATGCATACATTGTAAGCCTGCGTTCAGGGTGCATAACACCACTTCAATAATTGTGAGTAATAAACGAATAAATCTGTTTATTTTAGATCAGATTGGTTTGCATTTATACTTTTTTGTCAGGACTTTAGACATCAGGTGTCCTTTACTAAATATCACTTCTCTGAATCAACTTCCCATATTATTACAAAAGCATTTTCTTTTTTGGGTTCTGGGTTGTATTTTACAGGTAAACAGAGCCAATTGCAACTACCCATCTTGGTAGACTTTGACAAAAAGTGCAAGTCATACCATTTATTGTGTAAAAATACATGTTAGCTCTGGCTGTAACTAAATAAAAGTCTGACAGTCAGTTGAAATACCAGTGCTGAGAGAGTGACATTGCTGGGGCCTGGGCCTTTTATAGCCCTGCATTGGGCCCAGATGTTCTGGAAAGGAAGAAAAAAAGGCTCCAAGGCTTCAGTATCTCCACCCATGAAAAGATGAAATTGTAAGTCTGTTCTTAAAAAAGAAAAAGAATAACCGGGGCCATCATACAGTTGACTGGTGAGCAGCTCTTAGCAGTGACTGAGCCAGCTTGTGCCATTAAATGTGGTCTAAGCTGCTAATTTCCCTGCAACACATGTTTCTATTTATATCAGGCTCAGAAACACATGGCAAGCATCACTAGTAGAGATTCAGGTATGCAGATGTTGTGTAAAATGGTGTTCCATTCTGCTTTCGTGTCAACTTGTGTAAAATATGTCAACCATCAGCGGGTTAAAGACCTCCTATGACCCTAAAATGCTGTCTGCAGCATTTTTGTGTGTGATCCGCCATCTAATACAACTGTAATCCATTTTATCACCCCCTTAACTCACCATTTCATCCTGATATCTTATTTTCTGGAGAGTAACTTAATCCTAGACTCATCTTGCTTACCCTCTTAGCTTTAGCTTTATGTCCTTAGCTCTAGCCCTCCATAATACATTAAAGTCACACACACACACACACACACACAAAAAAAACAACAACTTACATTTATTAAACCAATTTGGCTGACACAAGAGACACGGCGAAGATTTGTTACTGATAAAAGTGTGGCAAGGGTCGCACGCATAGAGACAAGTCAACTGGTTCAAGCGTGGATCGATACTAGGTGATGTAGGAGCCGGCAGGGGGTGATTGTGGGGGCAGCAGAAGGGCTAATCATTTCAGTCATTACCCAGCTATGTCTCCTGATCCCAGGGATTAGCAGGAACAAGGGAGATGTTGTGTTAGTGCTACATGAGACTATCGGGGATTTGAGAAGCAGAAAAACACTCCCCGTGCCCAGTTGTTTTTAGTAATTGCGCCTTTACAGCTGCAGGCTGCGAGGGAAAGAGAAATGTGTTCATACAGTATGCGTTGGCTTGTGCTGTAAGGGGGGAGAGGACAGAAAGAAGAGGAAATTTCAAACAATGTTGGCATTTGCATTGTGCACATGCACACATGTAAAATATTCAAGTGGTTTATCCTTAAAAACGCGTATTTTCTACCCCTCTCTGACTCCTTTTTCTCTGGTGTGGAATGTAGGAGAGCAGAGTCGTGGGAGAGCTTACATGCTTGCTTGCCCACAAGCCTTTATGTGGAGCTGATCATTTGACAGAGTACAATGCGGGTAGAGAGGCAGGCTTGCTGAGGTTGCCACAAGACCTGAAAATTGGCATGGCATGTGTAAGAATTTCACACATTAGGGCATGCAGAGAAAAAGGAAAATCATATTCATGTCCGCGGTCACATAGCAAAAAAGGCTAATTCAATCAGTTGCCGTTTTAAAGCACCCTATAAATGTAAAATGGGACAAACACCTGTGTAGAAACTGTTCACCACAGGTGAAAACTTGGACCTTTAAAAGTATATAAGCGGTCATTTGACTACTTATATAAAGACAAGTTTAGCATAATGTCATAATGTAGTGTTCGTTGTGCAACATACTGTTAAGTTGGAAAATCTGAAGTAAAAAAAAACTATGATATATAATTTGTTTTTTCCAGATAACAGTCTCAAAACCAAACATTTTTTTAAATATAATTGCGTATATTTTGTAAATGCAGAACTATTAAAAGAGGCTAAAATGTACTCTGTACAGAGTATCTCTAACGCTGATATGAGGACAGGACTGTAATTGATGGATTATGAACTATCTGATTGCAAAACATTTGTATGACATCCTGACGCATAGATTAAATGCTCGTGAGAAATGTATGAAAGATTTTATCAGTGTAATGGGTTCGAACACAGACCGTCTAGTCCGATAGGGAAAAGAAGATCACTCCTAAACCCATTTACACAACTCCATCTTTAAGCGTCTTAATCATTATTTCTATTATGATACATCCCCTAATTGACATGAAAAGTATAATGTGTCAAATTTAAATGGTGGCGGAAAAAAACATTTGGCCAAATCCATTCACAGAACCAACAGGAGTACGCGTTTTACACCCATGGATCATGATTTTGAGCGCAGAGCTCAAGGTTTCAGTCACAGGAGCACAACAACTAAACTGCACATCAGCCCCTGAAATGTGATTGAGAGCGCTTTTAACGTGTTAAAAAGCTGTTTTGGTACCAAACACAGGAGCACTTCTCCAAGGCCGAGGAAAGATTCCCAAAGAACACTGCAGAGTGAAATAGGATGACAGTGGTGCGGGTTGAAAAGGCTATAAAACATTAAATGGTGGGCCAAACTCTCCACAAATGCAGGTTGCAGGTGCAGAGTTGACAAATAAGAAAAATAAGAATAATGCAAACAATTACATCATCGCTGCTTTTATCAACCTAAACTTGTTTTTGCTTTTCTTGGAGAAGTTGCATAAATATTGTATAATATATGCAAGATGCATCCTTGCTCTGACTGTTTACTGATATTTATGCCATGAAGTTAAAGATTCAAGAGCTACTGTTTTTTAACAAAATAGTTCTATGTCTGATGTATTCTCTACATTCTGTTTTGAAGCAAAATTTCAACAGATAGTTACATTCAAATTCAGGCATTTAAAATTAGCTTAAAAGAACATTGCCATTACCATTATTTTACTGCACTGTGAATGAAAGCTTTTGCAATACTGTGACTTGACAGCAACACAGTTGAAGCAGATTCATGCATCTCATAGATTAACAAGGCTCAAGGGGTGAACTTTGACTTTTAAGTAAGATCTCTTTCTAATTCAGTCAAGCGTTTTAACAAAATATCACAAGAAATAAACGTTTCGGCGAGAAAAGGGAAAAAAATTAACACAACACAAGAGGCAATTTAAAGTAGCATATGTGTGTGTGTGTGTTTGGGAGATTAAAGATATCACACGGAGACATGATGCCATGTTCCACCTCTTCTTTTTCTTTTCCAAAGTTGTTCTCATGGGCCCTGGCAAGTTTAAAAATAGAGCTTGTCTAATAGAGAAAAGGGCCGAGGGGGGAAGGAGAAGAAGAGCTAAAGCGTGCAGAATCTGAAGGAGTCCTCTGTGGTAGGAGAATGCAATTTGAGATTGGCCAGATTGCTTTTTTTTTTTTTTTTTTGCCTCTCTCCTTTCTCCCCATCGGCCGCTCATGAGGCGTGATATGCACCGGTGGGGTCCCTAAGCCACTATAAGCCTGACGCCAGTGCCCACACTACCGCCAAGGAGTAGTCGCACTCACAGCACGAGAAAATCAGCATGATGAAATGATGAAAAGAGGGAATCAGAAAAGATCAGCGGGGATTTGCGAGAGATAGATGAGAGTCGGGCGAGGGAGAGGAGGAGGGTGTGGAATGGTGGTTAGAGGGAATGAATGAGGGGGAAAGCTTCGTCGGGATTATGGCGGGATGTGACAGAATGTAAATGCACTTCAGTTGACCCAGAGCTGATATCTCATGGTCACTATGGATTATGAGAGGTTCACTTTTTTTGCCACAAGTACGCCCTTCATCTGATTAAGTGTTGCATTTTTTCTTTTTTTCTCTCTCTCTTTCAATTTTAGGAGGCGAAGGCTCAGCTGAGACAGGGCAAAAGGAAACATCCACCTGTGACATTTGCCAGTTTGGGGCAGAGTGCGACGTGGATGCAGAGGATGTTTGGTTAGTTCACATTTTGTCTCTCCAAAACTTTGATGCCATTTTTTATCTTCTTTCAGCATTTGCGATTAAAAAAAAGAAAATCCTCATATTTGTTTAAGTGTTTGTGTGAACACAAAGAATATAACACTGAGCTCTTCTTTATCCTGCACACACCCACTGCTGAACACCCACTGAGGGTTTAGTGCATGGCTGACCATTTCATTTAACCTCAATTACTAGAGCAGGGCCGGGAGAGAAAGGAGATTTTCGCTTATTCTGGAAATCCAATTACTATCCTTACAGGACTTGGCAATGTCAGACCAAAAATGACTTTGATTCACACAGGAAAAACTAGTTCAGTGACGAAATAACATTTGTCATAGAGTTAACCATTTATTGCAGATGAGGTTTTTTTGGCTCACTTTTGTGCCTCGGTGAGCAGATGAAAGAGAAAAAAATCAAATAAAAACATCCTCAGGGTGTTCATAAAAAAACATGTGTGTGAAGAACCCAATTAAACGGAGGCTAAACTTGTGAACTGTTCCAACACCGGAATCAGTGTTTTGTGCGAGCGTGTATGACACTTAAATGAACCAATCCTGCTGATTCACTTTGGAATATAATCAGCCGGTATCAGCAAAAGCAAGAAATCCCAGATGTACAGCCAGAAATTAGAAGTGCCCTGAGAGTATGACTCTATCAAACTGCTTGATGTAATGGAAAGATAATGTACCCTGGTGTGCAATATCGGTAATGCCAGGGAATGGCCTCATGATGCATTTTGAGCCCTGTTGCAAATACTAAACAGCTGGAGTCCACTCCTGGTAAAGCCACCCACTTTCACAAATGCACCTTAATATGGTACTAAAACACAAAAATTGATTTATTGGCAATTTCTTAATCCCCGGTTGGAAAATTCACAAGATCACTGCAGCACAGAGTGAAACTATTGGGTGGAGCACACAGAGCTAGAAACATTGAATAAGATGATGCCTCAAGCATATTTAGCACAAGCTATGACAAAAACGCTTGTATTTCCAAAACACTAAAAAGAGACAACATTCTGGAGAGACAGACCAGGTCAATAATGCATCGTTTTCAACATAAATACTAAAACAGACATATGAGTAATTCAGAGTCCCTTCTTGTAAAATGGGAATCCCAAGTACTCTTTAATCTTTAAAGTGCCCCGAGGTGTTTTGATAAGAATGATTCTTGTGAATAATCAGGGAGGTAATTGCATCCCAACAGCCAATAATTTTCATCAAACAGCCAGCCAACAATTGGAGTTGTAGGAGATCCTTTTGATTAAAATGACAGGTTACTCCAATCAAGCTGCGGCTGGTTTTAATCAAACAAACTGTGTGCTAATCACACGATGATTGGAAAGAGGTGACTGTAATCAAAAACCAGGTGACTGTAAAGTGTGTTATACTGCATTGTTCTTATTCTCTCCGAAACAAGCCAGACTGACAAATCACTTTCATTATTTTCTACTGTGTTCACAATTTTCCATTACTCTTATTATAGGCATGGGATATATTTTGTTAAGGATTCCTGGAAGAGAGATGTCCCCAGGGAGCCAAGGTTATTTCTCCTCCTTAACCGTGTGTCTGTTTCTAAACTTATAAAGCTTCCCATGCATTTGGCAAACGTGCTGTTTTTTCAGTGGAGCGTTGAGCTAATTTGTAAGGTTCCCCTTTCTTTTGGTCTTCTATAGCTTTTCTGTGAATTTGAAAATTCTAAAGTTACTAAGTGTTGATGTAACACCACATGGAATAAATCCTTTTATACAGAATACTCTGTTCCTCAATATTTGAAATGCCTTCTTGGATACTGAAATTTTAGTTTTTCACTAAAATAGATTTGCTCCCCCCCACTGTTTGTTTTTAGAATACTCTTACGTAATCAACTCATCACTTGAACAAGGCAGAGTAGATTTGAACAATTAAGCATTTTAGTTTTTTTCACATACACAATGCAGTAAAAAAAATTGTTTTTGAACCATTGCAACATAACTTCCCACACTATGTGTGAAACTTAATACAGATAAATTTAAGTGCCTGTCTATTTAATATAGTGTGAATTTACACTTTTAAGTCAATATATGAAATTCAACTGTCTGAAAAAGTTATGTCACATAAATCTCTAAGAGACTGTCTAGGACAAGTTTTTGCCTGGGCTTTAAATTGGAGACATGAGTGCTCTTCAGATTTGAACTTCCACTAAAATCTATATCCTTTTGCTATTGCTGCTATTCAGAGGAACGATCTAAATTACCTTTCCCCTGATGTTAAAAGTATGAAACATCAAGAAACACAACCGGCAATCAGCAGAGAACTCAGAAGATGCTGTCAACTTTGCCCTCCAACTTAGAAAATCACTGAGTGTTGCACTTAAGAAGAAGAAGAATCCATCTCCAAAAGTTAATTTGGAGAACATAAAACAGCTCATAGATCTCTTTATCTAGGTGGGAGTTGGCCTGTATGGATTCAGATTCTAAACCCTCTATCTCTGAGGAAGTGCATTAATAAGATTTGAAAAACTAGATGTTTTAATAGATGAAAAGGGAGATGAGACTGATCTAAATGCCAGAATTTATTAGTGAGGAAATAAATAACTAATTAAAATAACTCATCTTGGTTCTATATTGATGCTGAATGCTGCATCAACTGGATCTGGGGACTGTAGGTCCACTCAATTGGAAAGTTTCAAAACCTGAATAAGAAAATATATAGTGACATGCTAACATGTTATATTAAGCATGTTATGCCACTCAAACAAAGTGCAATAGATTAAGCCTTAATTTGGCATATTCAGCACAACCTTTCAACCCATTAGTACATATTTTTGTGTACACTTTTCTTTCACAATTTTTCTGGCAGTGGAATTTAAATGTGAATACCACGTTCATAATCTTAGTCCGTCTAATTTGAGGAAGTGGTTTCTTATATCAGTGACTCCATAAGCAAGCAACTATGGAAGCCAATGAAAAAATATTTAGTGAGGATGTAGGTCATCTTAACGTATTGTTTTACATTTGTTCCTATTGAAGGCAACAGCTCTCTATGTATCCTTGTTAAAAAAAAACCTGCATGTTCTCTACATGGCTGTGTTTACTCCTTAAAATCAATTATTCTCTCTATGCAAATTGACGGCAAAAAAATAATTATGCCCGCCTATTATTACGATTGGTTATGGGCCCTGTTAATATTTCAATTTAAGCTTAACTTCGTGTTTTAAATGATCTTAGTGGATTTAGATGGGGAAAAGTGAGCTGAGTTGTAGTGGAGGTGCTGTAGCAGGATGAGCTCTTGGCAGAATGCTGCATTTGCCTCTGCATCAGCCCGCAGAGCCTCCGTATCTACTCTGCACCCTTCTGTTGCTCTCTGACTCTGTAGGCAGGCAGCAGGCAACAAAAAAAAAAAGACCAATTTGCCCCAGCGGGATCAATAGAGTGTCACAAAAACCCATTTAGATCCATTTGTGGTACAAACCTGTAATTACCACAAAAATCTATGCTTTCAAAGCCATCAATGGCACCCATCAGTGTTGATAGAATTTAAGGAAAGGAGAAGCAGATAGTGAGCCGGTCTGGAAGAGGGGCTGCAGGAGCACTCTCTGTTTGAATGTTGCTGGGAGACCTCCTAAGAGTGAGGGAGTTTTCAAAGCCAGCACTTGTGTCCATACTGAGGCCCTTTCTGCGGAGAGCATAAAGGAAGTTTAATAGAAACGAGAGGACAAAGAAGAAGGCAAAGGCCAACAAGAGGGGCTGGATAGGGCCTTTTCTGTGTTTGAGCTGGGTTCACACAGTATGTACACATACAAACTCTGAAAGCCATCTACAACTGGCTCCCACTGTCCACCAGCACCTCTCATTCAGGACAAATGAACTTTACAAACATCATGTCATGTAGCATCACTATGTTTGCATTGCTTATGTTTCAGCAGATCTTATTTGCTTTTCCAAGGTGTTGTTTAATTTTCTTTCTTATCAGTTTATGTCTCTCTTGACGTTTTGTGAAGTTGTGGACTTGTGTTTTCTTCTATTCAACTCTTAGTAATGACGTTGCGTCTTGTTATTTGCATTATTTATGGTGAGAGGCAGTATTTCTTTTTTATGTTTTATTATTTTTACAGACATCCGGTGCATTGTTTTGGACGCATAGCTGTTTTCAACCATTTGGTAGCAGTTTTTCAGTTATTCTGCATATTTTGGTGAGGATTTTAACTTTTTGTGGTTATTTTGTTGCCTCTGTTGTTTTTGCATCTCTGAGCTCAGTGCCTTTATTATTGTTTTTTTCTTTCTTTTTAAATGCTTCATTACTCTGGTAAACACAATGTTTCTTTTACAACTCAGGGCTTCTTCAGCCCGTTAAGCTTACATTATTTGTCAGAATTGAAAGTTTAGAGGAGGGGAACAAGACAATTGCAACTTGTTCAAATGATTATGTTTCTAATAGTTTTCTGTTTCTATCATGACATATATACTCAATGTTCTTACATTTTTAACACAGCAAGAAGTCATTTATTTTGCTTTGGCAGTGTCCCATAAGAATAGTAAAAAGAAAGATTTTATTGAAGGAGTAAACACACACTTCTCTATATATTTCTTATATTTCTCATGTGAAGGGTCCATTATCAAATTGAGACAAGATGTATAACCTTATAAGAACCTTTTGGATTCAGAAACTGACTGTTTGCCAGGTTAAGCACAGCCTACATGTATCATTGTTACTGCAAAGCATCTTTGGTATTTAAAGAGATTTCGATTTATTTTTGTTAACGTTGTTCAGTGAAGGCTCTTCCTTCTGTGGAAAATATGCATTTGTATTAGTGAGTTCTGGTCCAAGGGACTGATTTCTGATTAGGATTAAAACCCACTCTTTCAGCCACTACATGTAGCTGTTGACACAATCAGGTCACAAACACAAGTGGCTGAAATGGGTTTCCTTCAGAGAATAGCAGGGCTCCACCGTACAGATAGAGTGAGTAGGCTTCTCTGCATAGAAAAGAATTGG